CAGTCTACATATATCGTTCCCAGTTTTGTCACCTGCAGTACTAAATGCTGGGGAAAACTGAAGGAGGGGATTTAGCATGGTGTTTGTATGGTAGGTATTTTTTCCAACATACGGTGCAAATTGGCAACCCCAAAATACTTTCATTAAAAAAGTAATGCCAGCTGAAGGCTGGAAGTTAAATTTAAATAGTAGGGGAGAAAGAGCTAGGTGTCAGGTGAAACTGAATATCCTCAGCAGGAGAGGAAAGCGAAAGCAAAGGCATTTGCATAACAAACCAAAACGATTTCAAATTTGTGTTCTCTGTGACACCTAGTAGGGGTATCCAGAGATGTCACTGGACCGAGTGCTAGGAAGAAACTGAAGGAGAGGACCAGAACCGCTTTTGAAAGTCCACTTGTATTAGAAGGGTTCCTGAGAAAACAACTTCAGAAAAGAAGTCAAGGAAGGAGGTTAGTGCTGAGAGAGATCTCAAGGGTGGAGTGAAAGGTATGTGCTGGCAACACACCCTCGGCGCTGTCTGGTGGAAGAGAGGCCCTAGGGTGGAGCCCCATGTTGCAGTTAGAAGCGTAACACGTACAGAGACCTGCTTGAGGTACCTGTCGAGGCCTTCAGAACTTGGAAGGGAGGTCAGGTGGGGTGTTACACCGTGAGGTGTCCACTATGCCGAAACAAAGCGGAGAGCCACTCTGAAACAAACTTGTTATTTGACATTAGTGCCCCATCACTGGAAGTGTTCGAAGGTCCATCAGGTCAGATGGGGCTTTAAGCAACCTGATCTATTGAAAGATGTCGTGCCCGTGGCAAGGGGGGTTGGACTAAATGATCTTTAAAGTTCCCTTCCAACCCAAACCATCCTATGATTATATTTCTATTTTCAAAATAGGACACAGACTTGGAATCATCATACCTAATTTAGGCTTGTAACTGCAGGATCTATATTATAATTCTTGTTTTGCTGCTCCTTCTGTGTTCAGTGGAGAGAAGGGCAGGAACTCATTCAGTCTATATAATATTTGAGTCATATTTTGGAGTTGTTTTTCTTTCTGCTGGTTGGAGGAGGAGTGCAGGGATCTCTCTACTGACTATCAAGAGTATAATCACCTCCAGTACTCAAATGCCAAAGTGAAATGAATCCAAACCAAAAAATGCATGGAGCTGATGCCCAGCGTAAGCTTCATTGCAAAGAGAAAATGTTATTTTAGAGAAAAACGATTGGAAGTAAGCAAGAGATGAACATTTTGAAGCCTGGGGGTATCCTGATCTGTATTTTAAGCTGAACTTTTTGGGTAGAGCCATAATTAGCACATCTTGTGTGCTTGGAAAGTGAGCTAGTAATTGGACTAGTTAGACTGAAGCCATTTTGAAAAGTCAGCTCTTGGTCTATATTTCTGAATTTTTGTAGCATCTTTCTGCCCTACATATGGCTCTCTTGGATGGTATCCAGTTCCCATAGTGTGTGAGGCTGAATGGATTTTATTAAACAAATATGAAAAATCAGAACTGGAATCAAACAAGCAGAGTGAAAAGATTGCAGCAGCAGCAGTATAGAGCCAGCTTATTGCCCTCGTGGTGGAAGAATGGTTTTCTAATTGTTTGTGAAAGCTAATGGAAACTGTATTTTGGCTGTGACTAGTTCTCAGGAGGGATCATTGTGAAGTCTTACCTCATCTCTTGTGCTTTACTGATAGAACATATCATGTATTCAAAAGCAGACACACCCCATGAAGCTCCAAGTGCAGAAAACCAGTGGTCAGTTTTAGATGCTGAAGAAAGGTGGGACTCCTCAGGGGTGAGTGAGCTTTACTGGCTCGTCACTGACCTGTCAGAGGCTGCTGCAGATCTGCCTTCGTTACAGCATGTCAATTGTGGGAGCGTTGGAGAATTGGCAAAGGGAGAAGGTTATGATGACAGAATTCAGGAACCAACTAATTAAGGTTTTCTTGCCCACGACATCACAATAGCACACTCAACCATGCTGAGAGAAGGGTGTGTTTGAAAACTTAGTCCAGTTAACATCATCTGCTTCGGAGTTACCTGTAACTAAAAATCAGAAATGCCACTTGCGTTTCTTTTCCATGGAATCTTTCCTAAATGTTATACCGTTTCAGTCCTGGAGCTCTTTATTCCGGACTTTATTAGTAACAACCAAACTAAAGTTGTTATCTTAAATGTTAAATTTGATCCACCTTTTGTCTTTCCCTGATGTGTGTTAGCCCTTCTTGCGCTGGATGGGGCACTGCCAGCACAATACAAACCAACTGGATTTCCAGTTGCCGTGTTTGACATTGGCATCACCCGTTTATCCGTCTTGGGAATGGCCTTTGTCTACTTTGCTTTCCAAGATTCTCTGAACAGGTAGTCCTTAACCTATGATTAATTAAGGAAGTGGAAAAGCTGAGTCTTGTGCAGGTCATTGGCAAGCTGTGTTGTATTAGCTGCAACCAAAAATCATCACAGCCATTTACAGAGCTTCGGGTCCAACAGCCTTCTTTTGGCTGGTTAGGCTTTTTTATAACCTTAATAAGAGAATCAGGGTAAACAGCACCATACACAGATCCTTCAGCTCACTGCAGTCACAAAAAACGTGGCATATTGGGAATAAATGTCAAATTGGGATTTTTGTAACTTTTGTGGGTATTTTTCACTGGGGAGTTAGTCACTGTGCTCAGTGGTTTTTTTGGAATACTGTTTGCTGTAACTCTATGTACCCCAATACTTCGGGGAAAGGGCTTTGCTTGTTGAAAGTATTGCTAAAGTGATTTTGACTAAAGTAGCAAATGGACTACCCAGAACCCATTTCAGACAGAAGGAAAGTTGTGAGCGTAAATAAGCAGGAAAGGGATCCTCACATGTTCTTCAAAGGTTTATGCCTATTAAGCCTATTGTATATCTTAGAATTAGTCTTAATAATTTACATCACCAGCTCATGAGGTAGTAACCCTGTTAAGTACTTCCCTAGACAGTCATCTTTTTGCCTTGGAAGCTAAAAAAGCTTTTTCTGAAGTGTCATCAGAGCCTTTCTTAGGGGCTTCCATTGCGCCCGTCAGCCATGACTCACCATGTTTCTGCAGGTCCTTAAAAAAATGGTGTTATGAAACTTGCCTGTTGATAGGAGCCAAGCAGGTGGCGAGCTATATTGTGTGCTCCATTAGTCTGCACAAAACCAGGCTCGTATTGCTGTCACCTCCTCCCCGTTCCCTTCCCACCTGTTTGGCTCATCCTGCCTCATCTTGTGACTTGTCATTAGTTGGCCTTGTACATTCTTTGTGGCAGAAACTTTTTCATTAAATATGGAAGTATATATATAGAGAGAGAGAACCTACCATGATAGAGCCTGAATCCTCGGCTGAAGAGCGTGGGCACGGTGCCAATACAATAATAATGCTGATGTTGAAGGCTCTTTCTCACACGTCTCCTGCAGACAAGAAGCGCTGCCACAGGAACAGCTCCCTCTTGTTTTACAAGATGTTACTCTTTACAAAAGATAGTTAGATTCAAAAAATCGGCATAGCATAGGTTTCACCTAATCTTTCAGTAATGAACAGAAAAAACTCAGTACCGTGGCGTGCTCGGATACGACTTTGTGCTAATGCTGAGTCGTATCACTCAGACACAACTTTGTGCCGTGAGTGACGCGATGTCGTAGAGGCCCATCCCTCAAGAGTAAGACACATTCTGCGGTTTTGTCGTAGAATTCTTTATTTTCTTTCCACGTAGAGGAATCATACTTTTTGTGCCTGAACTAAGGTTTTCAGGGACCTCTGCTACTGTAAGTCAGCATAGCTCTTGTCACTGCTACGGAGGTGTGCTAATTTGTATCTGCTTAGTTATAGACTGAGATGGCATTTTGTTTTACTGAAAACACAGATTGCAATAGGACCCATCCCATTATGACGGGCCCTCTATGGGTACATAGCGAGGAGGTTTTCCCCACTGCAGGAGGAGCTGGTCTTTGCAATATACAGCCCAGGCATGCGATAGCCGCGGTGTTCTATTCTGAAATAAATTGGGTCAAAGGACTTTACTTAAGAAAAAGGAAAAAAATATTCCAAATGATGTGTCATAATGGGTGCTAATATAATGCCATACACCTACTTCATTATTCAGTTACTTATTTATTATCTTTATTCTTAATAGTAATGATGTAAAAGTGCTTTTTTCCAAATGTTAATTTAGTTCTCTGCAGATGGTAACCATCTGTTAAATGACAAGTCATTTACTGTATTTGATTAGCACTTTATATAGCTTGGGTGGACTTATTGTTATGATATCTAAGTATAGTTATGGAGGTGAAACTCGTAAGATTTGTTCTTTTCCTGTTGCTGTAACCAAAAAAATGGAAAATTTCAAACCTATCAATATTTTTGCCTGTCTTTTCCTATATTCGTATGTGTTATTTCAAGTTAAAGCCTGATATTCATAGGCCAGCTCACAAGATATTCCTGAGAGAATGACAATACTAGGAAAGGCTGTTAAATTCCACCACCACTTGTAGCAATTATGAGCGTCCTCATTCTACAGTGTCACCACGGGCTGGACTCTTGTGCATGTTCCAGGAAAGCACTGGAAGCTTGAATGAATCTTCAGAATCATGGCTTATCGAGTAGAAAACTCCCTTGGGGCTGTGATCCTGCTTTATATACTTACAGCAGCTTACACTGGGGGTCTTTTTTTAAACTAGAAAAAAATTAATATTGCAATACACCTTAATATTACCATCATAAAGTGATCTTCTTGCATGAGCTGCACACTCTCGGATTTTAATACCTTGATTAATGCCAACTAACCCCAATCTGTCTGTAAACTGAGCAAGTTCTGGTTCATTTCATATTGTGTTTTCTTCTAAATCTTCTTCAAGTTATGCTGCTAGACCTTAATTTGCTGACCCTGTTCTCATTGTTGTAAAATTACCTCTTTTTTTTTATTTCTGTGTTTTTAATAAAGTTCATTTGGTGTTTTGATTTGTGGGTTTTGTTTTTTTTTTTTATTTTCAGCAGCTGAAAACCTTGATAATGGCCCCACTGCCGAATGCTGAATTAGTTCAGAACTCTTTGCAGCTCTATCGGTACCTGCTTCGGTGCTGCAAGCAACTTCCCGAAGAAAATATTCGTCAGCATTACAGACATGCAGTCAGGCAGGTGAGAAGCAGATTTTTCTGTTGGTGGAGTTCAGTGTTGTGGGTTTTTTTGGTTTGGCTTTTCTCCTCCTACAGTTTGGGCCAACTTTTTATAACTCCTGGCACTTAAATTACTCTTCTGCAAGCTTGAAACATTAGTGGATTTGGAGGATTATGCTGGGAGCATGTGAAGGAGTGTTTCTTTTTGTTTGCTTTGAATCTGAAACCTTCTATTTTCCTTGGCTTTCATCTTTAATTCTTGTGTTAGTCAAGAGAGTGAACACCCATTCCTTGCTCATCTAAACACATCTTTTATGGTGAAGCTTACTGGTTCCTTGTCGGTCCTTTATAATATATATGTCCCAACCCCCCTGGCTGGGTAAAGCTCATCTAATTGTTCATATGGAAGTAATTTCATACCTGTGATCATACCTGTGGTCCTGTGTCTTTCTAGTTTTAACATACCAGACAATTTCAGTTGTTCTGAATTGAAGTTGTCTGGGGGTTTTTTTGCTGATGTTGTATGAAAGGAGAAAAATACTTTACCTTTGACAAGTCTGTTGTGGAAATAGCAGAGCCAGATGCAGCGATGTATGTTTCTGCCTTTTCAGATCAACAGTTTGTTTGCATCAGGTGTTTTCTTTGCAAGTTTAAAGCATCCTTGTTTTGACAACTGTTGTGTTGAGCTGGCTAGTCAGTGTGACGCTGTGATTGAACGTTGCAGAGTTTCAAAGTTCATGCTGACGAAGACAATCCCGAGCGAATCCAGCAGATTATTAAGAGAGCCATTGAAGATGCTGACTGGGTCATGAATAAAGTGAGTGCATCAGATTGTCAGAGTTTTACTCTCACTCAGTTCAGACTGAAGAAGAAAACATCGGAAAGCAAGTCAGGAACAGCAAACTGTTCCATGGTCCTGGACATCAAAGTGCCTCACTGAAAGGAAATACCTGCCCACTAGGGATTTAGGATTGTGGTGGTGGCTGATTAAAAATTCTTCTTTGTCGATATCAACTTAAGTGTGTCTTGTAGAACCAGTGACGCTTTAAGCTGGTCTCTGTATGAATCTTTGTTTCCACAAAGAATTCTATTAAATTTCAGCAGGGGTGGCTGGTGTAACTGTGTTACAGAAAAAGTAACTACAATATTTTGCAAGCCGTGGTTTGTTGATGTGCATCAGCTGCTTTCCTAACAGGAACCTATCCTCTCTTAGTCAGTTCACATAAACTCCCAGAGCGATTGTTTGGGTTTTTTTTTCCCCTCAGATTTTGCCCGTGGCTGTGCAGATCAGGGTTAGACCATATAGTGGCAAAATTGGGGTAATTGGTTCACTTCTGCCGTAGTTATCACCCAGCGAATGTGCCTCTACTATCACAGCACTCCAAGACACCACTCAAACTGGTTTCTTAGATAAGGGTGGAGTTTGTTTACCATTAGACAGCTGAGTGTCACCTGTACTTACATGGATTTAAATCTGCTTGGGGAGCATGAGATGTTAACCTGGATTTCTCAGAGTATAATGAAACAAGTCAAAAGTTCAACTTGCTCTGAATATCTGTGATTTAATTTACTAAATGACTGTTAAGTCTTTCTCTCTGCCAGTCCATGAAATCCAAATGAGAATTGTTACAGGAGCAAGCATAGATTAGTCATAGATTATAAAATAGCAGTAGCCAAATCCCAGCAGTTACAGCCTAGTAAATAACTGTCTGTGCCTGAATCTGATTTTATTTTTCCTACAATTATGAAAAGCCTCATTCTGATTCTGCTACAGAGACTGTAGTCTGCTTCAGTGGAAAACTGGTAATTGAACTGTGTGAGAGTAGGTTCAGATTCACAGTGCCTGCCAAGAAGCTTTATTTTATATTGTAGAAGGAAAGCCTATCAAATTTCAGTCTAACTTAAAGGAAACTGAGGTCATTTTATGTAGATCATGAAGAGGATTGTAAATCCTTGTCAGTATGAACTGTTACTTTTAGTTATGTGCTCCTTCCTGCAAATAACTGTTTGTTTCTTCTTTTTTTCAGTATAAAAAGCAGAAGTAGAAGAAGAATGATGAAGACAAGAATGCCATTGGTAAACATCCTTAGAGGACTTGCAGTCAAGCCCAGTACTATATTATAGCTGTTGCCTGGAGTTTTCTCTTAGATGATACAAATACAATAATTTATATCTTACTGGGATGTCCTGAAGCTAAATCAATATTTCTGAAGCTATTTCCATCTGTAGATTGAAAGGCACAGTCTAAGTTCAAAGTATTAGTTTGCATAATCACCAACTTAAAGCCCAAACTTTTCTAAGCTTTGAGTAACACAGAGAGCTTTTCAGGAAAACTTAGTGAGAATAAAAATGTAATGGAGTACAAGTCATTAACAAATAATAAATAATGCCCTGTCTGTCATTCGTATCTGATGAATTACAACGTCTCATCTGAAAGAACTTAACTAGTACCTGAGCATAAAGGTCTGCTCTGGGAGCCTGCAGACCTCAGAAATGCTCACTGAGGATCAGAGTGAATTTTTCTTTGCTTGATTGTGAACTAGACTATACTATATATATATATAGTGGATATATATACACACGTGTATCTATACTACATATATCTAGACTGTAAGTCTAGATCCACCGTAGGATAGCAGTGTTTGATACACTCACTGGTAGGTTATTTGGTGGCAAGGTTCTTCTGCATAAGTAGCTGTGTATTTGAGTTTGTGTTTGTGTAACAGTCCGAAGGATGTAGTGCGTCTGTGTCAGATCGTCCTCTGTCAGGACCATGGATCTGGTTTCAGAGTGAAGCAGAGGTGTGAGCAGAGCACAGGTTTTAATCTAGTAGCAGACAAAGGCTACTGAGTGGAGAACGTACCCACAGCAACTTTAAGCCCATCTGACACTTGAACCGCAGTATTTTCCACTTGTGTGTCTGTGCTACGGGCATGTCTTCGTTCTACTCTGTAGGTTTGCACTTGAACTTGTGGTTGTCTTTTCTTATTTAAAGGTAGGTGCCTGTCACCCCACTCTCATGAAAATGGACACCATTCCGACGGGCTGGGTGCACTGAATGATATAGTCACCGAAACGTGCCATGTTGTACAGATATAAAGGCCTTCGCTTATTTTTGCAACGTATAATAAATGTCATTTAAAAAGGGGAGTCCATGTCCTTTTTAAAAAGACCGTCTTTTCACTGCCCTAAGAGATTTTCATCAGGGAAAACTCAATAGAAATTCTAGCTATCTTACATTAAAGTAATGTAGGGGTAAACCCGTTTGCTTTTGAACATGACCTTTGCTTTTAGCTGTACTTGGAACTTTCTGCCTCCGGGTGGCAGTGCATGCTGCGATGTGATCCAAAGTCCCGAGTATTTGGGGGCTGGGTTTGTTTTTACTGGTCCCAAATTGTTGAGCTTCCTCACCTGCCAAAATAGAACTCAAGTGCTAAGGCAGATCCCTTTTAGGCTCCGGATTTTCTTTTTTTCGTTCAACCATGAAAGAGACAGAAAGAAAATCCTGCCTCAAAGTAGTCGAGAAGAATTTGACAAGCGCTATGTAAGCAAAGGGGGCTGTAGGTGAACGTTTATACAAAAAGTATTGTATCAAAAAATTTCCTTTGTCTCTGCTAACCCTAAACCCTCTTCTTCAGGAATTCCTGCCCTCTGTTATTCTTTCCTCTGCCATCACCACTATTGTTCCTCTCTCTACTCCTACATCTTTCACATCACCTTATATACCCTCAGCTTTTGTTGTTCTTGCTCTACATATTCCTTAATTCTGTTCTCTCTCATCTTGTCTCTCTACCCTGCTTCTTTCCCCTCCTCAAATCCTTTTCTGACAGGTGCATCACAAGGTGCTCAGCTATTATGCTGGGCCCATTCTTCTGCTTAATTTCAGGTAAAGCATGAAGGTGATAGAGTTTCTCACCAAAGTAGGTGTAATTTTTTCTTCTTCATGTGAGGAAAGCCACTTGTCTTTCTACTTAAATACATTTTTTTGAAAGTGCAACCATTCCGGCTTAAACTTTCAAAATAATTTGGTGCAGGTAGAGGATAGGAAAAAATCAACCTTGGCAGCTAGTGAGGAATATCCAGTATGAAACTGAACACTGTACTAAAAAAGCTCAAGCAGATTTGATAGTAGATATCAGAGTGTGCTACTTTTAATCAAGAACAGCAAACGGATGACCCTTGCTATTAGATATATTTGATCTGTGCTATGTGGATGCACTGAACTTCGTATCAGTGCCATAGTGAAAACTATAGAACTCAGTAGGATTAAGAGTATATGGGAACGTAATAGTTTCCTGAACTTTAAACATAGTGTGCTCAACAACCCTCTGTTGCTTTAACTGTCTGGCTTTTTGTAGTGTGAGACATAGTATTTTGTTAGTTACTAAACAGGATAATTGCATGTGCCTAAATCATTCTTACATATTATTTAATTTACGGATAGTTCAAGAGCGAAAGCACCGAGGAGCTGGAAGGTGCAACTGTGGCATGTCTGCAGCTCCAAATGTGAGGTGCCACCTGCGGTATGGGAGCATCAGACCGAAGGTATGGTAGATGTAAGTGATATGGTAGAACCAGGATCTGTGAATTTTAGGTTTTGGAAACTGGTAGAGCATGCAGTTCTTAGTAGGCTGCAGGGGGAACACACTTGCTGAGGCAGGAGACACTGTGACTGAGTATTTTGACAGTAGTGATTCAGTTGCAGGGCATGATGAGATGTCTGAGGTGGTTTTTGTTTTGGTTTGTTTTTTTTCCATACAAACATAATCCAGTTTTTGAAATAATAAGCCTTTTAATAGAATGGAAATAAAATGTAAAGGTAAGTTTATTTGCTGTCTTACAGAACAAATAACTTTCTTGGTGGTGAGGAGACATGGTGCAATAGTGAAAGTAACCCCCACGTCTGACAGACGTGTTTCTGTAATGACTGGGCTGAAGAGTCATTCAGCTGCATAGCTGAGGCTTTTCTGTTTTCCAGACAGTATACAAACTCTGTTCCTCAGCAGCATAATTTGAGACCGAAGATGTTATATTAGCCTAGATGTAGATGAGAACCTGAACTCTGAAAAGGGATTTGGCAGACCTTCAGTATTTTCAACCAAAATTATTATCCGGAATACTTCTACTCAGAAGTCATTTAATCCTGGAGTTGCCCTAATTTGCCACTCACTAACCTGTTTGACCTGGGGTTTATACGGTAAATTGAGTTCTCTTCATTCGCATCCGGGGTCACCTTTTAGCAGCTCTGGCGCTCTGCCGCCCAGCCTTGCTGAGACCGAAGAGCTGTTCTTTGTTTCACCAGTGTCTTCAATTGGTGCTAATGCCGCTGTGCATGACCTTATTCCTGCTGCTCACGGGGGAATGCTTCGTTGGTCAGTCTCCTCCGTGGCTCTCTGATAGCAGTTGCACAGAAAATATCAATACCAAATAGATTGGTGCCTCTGTGTTTCCATATTTGGTCATCTGGAATCTCTGAAAGTAGAGATGTTGGGTGCAAATTAGTAGGGTGCAAAAAGAGACGGTGTTATATACTGTACCTACTATTGCAAAGTTTGAAAGAAAAAAGCTGACATGCTCATTAATCTGTTGACACAACAAAGAATAATGTCAGTAAAAAGGGACAAGCCTATTCTATCCACAGGGTTTAGTTTCCATTTACTGAAATGAGGAACCCATTTCTGTACTTGGATGTCATGCCAGTTCTGGTAAGTAATGGACTGTGAGAAGGTACATACAATAATTGAGTGATCAAGGGCCCCTCGGAAGGTCACGTGGCTCATAAGCACTCCTGCAGCCAGCATCCAGTTACCCACATCGCTTTCGGGGTGGAATAATATCAGCCAGTGTCCTGGTTTCAGCTGGGGTAGAACTAATTTTTCTTCTTCGTAGCTAGAATAGTGCTGTGTTTTGGATTCGGTATGGGAATTGGTATGAGAAGAAGCTGATAATATACTAATGTTTTTAGTTGTTGCGAAGAAATCAAGGACATTTCAAGGTCCCATGTCTTGCTAGTGTGCAGGTGCACGAGAAGCTGGGAGGGAGCAGAGCCAAAGCAAAGGACCCAAACTGGCCAATGGAAGATTCTGTGTCGTATCATACGAGGTCATGCTCAGTATAGAGATGAGGGTTGGCTAGGAAGCTCACTCTGTCTTCCAGGACTGCAGTTTTGGGATTTTCTCTCCTCTGGGATCACTAGTCGGGAACAGACTGGGCATTGGTCAGCGGGTGGTGAGCAGTTGCGTTGCATCACTCGATTGCATGTTATTTTATTACTATTATTACCATTATTGTTTCAATTATTAAATTGTTTTTATCTCAACCTATGAGTCTCCTTACATCTGCCCCTCCAATTCTCTCCCCTGTCCCTCAGGGCCAGGGGAGGGCGGGTGAGTGGCCATGAGGTGTTTGGCTGCCGGCTGGGTTCGAACCATGACACCTGGCCGTTCATTAGCCGGAGGGTTTTCATGGTGTTTACACAAATGTAATAACTACGTTCTTTAAACAACAGTTTTGCAGCTGGTTACTGTAAGACCTTGAGTCAATAACTTCTCCTAAGTACTCCTGTACAATTAGAAGAGGTGAGTGGAATTAACTGTTCAAAGGTTGTATACAGACAGCTCTGTCGGTTAAGCTGGAGAGAGGGTTTCACTGAAGGCTTGTTATGCAAGACAAACATTAGAAGAAGGAAAAGACAGTTGGGAGACTTCTGTTTAATAGGTTGTGGTCACGGTTTTAATTCTTGAAGTATGGAGAAACAGATTATTTAGATGCCATTCTAGCTAAGGAAAATGAGGAAAAATAGTTCTTGGTCATTAGCTCCAGGTTATAGACTTCTCAATGTTCGGTCTAAGGACAGAACCAAATTTGGTGATATACTTTTTTATTTATATATATACAAATATATGTAAAAACCATTGGGAACCTAAAGCTGAAATTGTGTGGAAATAATCTGCACATTACTAATACAGAAGTAACAGAAAGGCTGGAACAATGGCAGTGTGTGAGTGGATGTGGTTAGTTCAGTGTACAGGTTCTTGCTCTTAAGCCTACAGACAAATGTGAAGGCACCTACTTTTGTCGTTACCAGCCTTGGAGCCTCATGTAG